CCCTAAACCCTAAACCGTTCAGAAGTCCTGAGCCGAAAGCTGTGCTGCTCGCCCTGCGCCAGCTCTCTGTAAAATGTAGCGTTTCGCCCCTGGAGGTTTCTTTCCTGAAGCTGACACAACCCATAGGCCCCTAAGTAGTTCCGTTTTAGGGTTCATATTTAGAATCCTATAAGGTTATCCCCAAAAAGGAACTACTTAGGGGCGTATGGGAAATCGCAAGTTTCAAACGCAGGGTTACTCTCGAGTTCCGCAGCCGTAGCCAAAAACCATCAAATGCTGCTACCCTAAGGGTCCATGTACCCAAATAGTATATACATTGGCCCTAAAGTACCTATATAGGGACTACATCAAGGCCAATGTATATACTATTTGGGTACATGGACCCTTAGGGCTATATCGCTTGGCTCTGCGAGGCGTCGTTGTGCCATTCGAGCGTTAGGCTCTGCCCCGGGCCTCAGCAAAAAGAGTATCCCTAACCCCCCAGGTACCTACTATATAGGGTACTAGAGCCCCTAGGGCCAAGGGCCCTATATAAGTAGGTACCTGGGGGCTCAGGGTATGATATGGTTTCAGGAGGTTTGAGGCTTACAGTCATGCCCAAGCTTGGTCTGGAATGGACGCTTCGGCAAACTCTAGAGGGACATGTTGTGTGTGTGTGCTTTTCGGTCCTGGGTTGAAGTGGGTCTTGGATTTGTACGGCTCCAACCGGACTTGGACTTTGGCTCGGTGGTCGTCGTAGTAGTAGTCCGATAGCAGTCATCGTAGTAGTCGTCGTCGTGGGGCCGTGGGGGTGGTGGTGGTGGTGGCAGCAATCTTGGTAAGACGATTCTTTCGTCCCTCGGAAAAGCGCATACTCCCGAGGCACGGGACTCGGCACTGCCCTTTATGGGCGAGGTGGCCAAGTGCTTGGAGGACATATCCCTAACCCTCCTAGGTACCTACTATATAGGGCCCAAGGGGCTCTAGTTCCCTCTATAGTAGGTACCTGGGGGATCAGGGTATGACTTATCTTTCCCCCTAGATGGCTGTGAGTGCGTGTGCAGGAGGAAGCATGACAGAAGCCTTGTGCTCCGCTGTGATGAATGCAAGTCTCCCCAGAGAACTCAATACCCCTTGATAAAGGAATATACCTTAAATCAAAATATTAAGGCCCCTATAATTAAAGGTATATTCCTTATTTAAGGGGTATTGGGTTCGCTGGGGTCTTTTGCAGGCTGTAGCCTCGAGGCTCACATCTAAGTCCTGCTCAGTCTTCGCTCAGTCTTCCTCGTGAGCTGGCTCTCCCATCCGATCCTGCCCTCGGGCTCCAAAGAGCCCAAAGTAGGTACCGTCTATAGACTTTAGACCCCAAAGTAGGTACCATTTGTATACTTAGAGCCCAGGGGCTGCAAGTGGCCCACACATAGTCGACACATGGCACTCGGGATCTCGGCAGTTTCTGCTAAGGCCGGGTTTCACGTCTCACAGAAACAGCTTGGGCTCTGCAGCAGCCCTGTCTTCAAACCAAGAGGCCAGTGCCTTTAGCCTTGAGACAGGTCATAAGCCATCTTCCATAACACTATATACTATATACTATATTACTATATACCATATTGCTATATACCATATTACTATATACTATACTACTATATTGTAGTAGCAACCAGAAGCCGGAAGCCCGAAAAACCCATGGCCTTGCTGCGATGAGTGCCACGGGATCCTTGGCGGGGCTGATCCCAGCGCAGTGGCAAGCTTCGAGGCGAAGCTGAGAGATTTCGCGCTTTTGGGGATCTGCGACCACCTCTGCTTCAAGTAGGTTTAGGGTTTAGGAATTAGGGACCTGCTGTCGCTAGCATAGCAATTATCTGTAATTATTCTGCTCTCCGTTTTCTTGACGGTTGCAGTTATGGGTCGACTACTGCTGCTACTACTGCCACTGTCGCAGCCACTACTACCACTACTACTAGACTACTACTACTACTNNCTACTACTAGCACCACTACCACTACCACTACCACTACCATTACATCTACTACTACTACTACTACTACTACTACCACTGCCACTACAACTACCACTACCGCTGCTGCTACTACTGCTACTACTACTACTACTACGACGACGACTACAACGACGACGACATACTACTACTACTACTACTACTACTACTACTCCTACTACTACTACTACTCCTACTACTCCTCCTACTCCTACTCCTACTACTGCTACTGCTACTGCTACCACTACCGCTGCTGCTACTGCTACTGCTACTGCTACTGCTACTGCTACTGCTACTGCTACTGCTACTGCTACTGCTACTGCTACTACTACCGCTGCTGCTACTACTACTACTACTACTACTACTGCTGCGAGACGGCGTCCCCTTCTAAAAAACAGTCTGGGCCGGCGATCGATTTTTGACAAGATGTTGTCGCATGCAGCGTTTGCCGTGCAAAGCATCGCAGCGGGCGCTTCGGCATGCTCTCTCGGAGATTCTCTTGCACCAGGTTTGGCAGTGTGGCCGTGAAGCGCTTCCACAGCGACCCCGCTGGTCCACCAGCCAAATCTTGCCATCTCCGAAGTGAATTTTGGCATAGCTCGAGCCAGGTGGCATGCCTTACAACTTCGACCGAGAGCTGGCAGCCCCGATGCATTGGTGCTCGAAGGGAAGCGCCTGGAGATTTCCATGAATAGCACGACAGTTTCTTCAAACCTCTTCTGAGGATTCTGAGGCAGTAATTGACCGTCTGCCCTCTGAGGAAGCCCTTTGTCAGTGCCGTCATCCGCACATCCTCGAGATCCTCGGGAGATCCCAAACAGGACAAGCAAAGCGCTAGTGTAGTGCGAGGAGTGTGAGGTTGCAGGGCTACTCAGGAGCCAATCAAAGGGGTCTAGCACCCTGCTCGAGAAGAGACTATGGAGATTGGCAGCAACCTGCAGCAAGACTGTTGCCAACGCAGTTGAGCAGGACCGGAGCAGCTTATTGTCATGTGACTCGACATTGGATAGTGGCATCTGCACACCTCAGAGCTTTCACTGAGCTACGGTGTGCAATATGCGATGTAAGGGGTCTGACCATGAGGGTGACTTCTCCTGCCATGAGGCCCCTAATGGAGGGTGGCACCCTGGCGGCAGCTTTGGGTTCCATGGTCTGGGCGGCCAGGGCCACCTGCTTCAGCCAGTGTGAGGCCCAGTGTGATGAACAGTTTGCCGCCCTCTTTCGGATTCGGAGAGAGGACTGAGAAGCAACTTCTGACAGCGTGAAAGATTGTGTCCTGTGATGGTGGAAAGCAAAGCCTGAAGATGCAAATGCCAGCATGATAGGTTCGACATGCTCAGCCAAATTTATGTCGAGTGATCCGACTTCAGTGCATGTGCCGGTCTCAGGATAGTCAGAGCCGTGTCTTTCCTCCACGGGAAGAAGATGGTTCACAGGGACATCAAAAGCTCGTGTCTTACACTTATCTCACACTTGCTGGAGAATGCTGGAGAGCGTACGTTGTACCCTCAGGGACCATGATGGACCATGCATGCGAACGTCACGCAAACGCTAGCCGCCACTGGGTGCGATTGCAGATCTCGCGTGAGGCAGCAATATCCTAATGGATGGAGCCTTGCGCCACGCACGCCTTGCTGACTTCGGCCTCGCAAAGGACCAGGCATGCACACTCTAGCTTTGTCTTGCGATGTCATGTCTTTGCTGCTGTGTGAGCAGCAGAAGGAGCTTACTTGCACATGCCTTCATCTAGGTGAAGGGCTCCAGAACGCACGGCACCACCGGCATTGTGGCTGCCCGGCTTTCTTGACCCAGCCTCTAAAAAGCGCAGCGCCGGCGAGGCAGCTGCCTCTTTGCAGAATCCGAGGTTGGTTCTCCGGGCTACATGGCACCCGAGCTGATGATGCGTCCGGCCAATGACCCTTGACAGACAAAGCTCCTAGAAGCCTCGTGGCAGTCGTCCTGCATCTGGCAAACTGCCGGATGTGCACCCACCCTCCGAGGAAAAGACAGATGCATTTGCCCTCGGAGTGGTGGCGTGCGAAGCTCAAAACGGAGGGGGGAGAGTTGCCATTGCGTCGTCGTTTTAGTTTGAATCTGAAGTCTCATGTCCCGCTGCACAGCTATGAGAAAAGGCTGGAGATTCTCACAGGCCTGCCTGCCTGGAATGAGGACAGATGGTCAAAGTTTGTGAGTTGCACAACTCGTTACATCCAGGGATCTACATGTGAAAATGACGGACGAAACCGAACTGTCTGCGAGGACAGAGAGACGGTTGCCGGCGGCTGAGTTTCTGGGCAGTGTCCAGACGTGGCATCTGACCGGATTCGGGGTCAAGGCTTTGAACGACTACGCGGTGTCTGACAACAAGTTCCAGGCCCAATTGCCCAGCTGTTAAGTCTCAGGTCAGACTCGTCAAGTCCTTCCAGTCTTGGCCGCGACATTACATATGCTTGCACACATTCACCGAGCCTGTGCGCAGCCTCCTATCATCATCCCAAAGCTATGTCTCCGAGAGATAGGCAGCTCCAAGCCCTCTTCTCCAGGAGTTCCTGGTGGATGCGAAGGCATCCTGGCCTCCGGCGGAGGCGGGCTGCTGCGCGCTAGCCATGTCAAGGAGCTCGCACCAACGGTGTCTCATCATCATCATCATCATCATCATCGTCATCATCATCATCATGTAATTACTTGTTGTTGTGTTGCTTCTCCACGTGTACACTTCCTGGCCCCTTGCCCTTGCCCGCGAGGTCGGGGCTCTGGGGGACCATGCTGTCTGGGGCACAGAGATGTCTGTCCATGTCGTGCGGAGTGCTTGTCGAGATTCCGCAAGACAGCAACACCGCTGTTGGAACATGTACAAAGGGAACAGTTAATGGCACTGTCACCGTTTTAAGGACATTGGATAACACAAAAGCCTAGCAGTTGACAGATGGCTGCTTTGTGAAGGGAGACTCGCATGCTGGCCGGAGGTCAAGCTCACATATTTCGATCCCAACCAGCGTCAGAAAGTCTCTGACATGGAGCAGTCGAACTCGTTTCAGGCGCACTGCACTCTCTGAGGGTCAGCCACATGCCGCACGTGCATTGCAAACTCGATTGTGGATGATGGTGCCATGCACCTCAACATGTTGGAGATCAACGCCGAAGTCTAACTTGAAAGGATTGGTCGGCAAGTTTTGGAGCTGTTCTAACAGATGCTTACAGTGTTCAACAGCTCAGCAACATCGCAAGAGAGAGTTCCTTTGGGCAGGAGCATGTGCAGAGATCTGAGCAGGCGCTGCGCTAAGTGCTGGCAGGACAGCCCACAGCCGCGATATGTCCGGTGCCCTTGCACGACAACATAGCGCCTCTGTAGGTCAGCTCGTTTGTTGGCCCTGTAATTGTAAGACTCTCGTTTCAAACCCGTCTCAGCCATCCGACGCGCTGCGTTTTGTGTCTGACTGGCTGCCTGTGAGGAGTCGCGCACTTGCTCGGTTTCAGCTGTGGGGCTGCGCCGGACGCGCGTGTGCCCGCAGCTTGCTGGGAGGTGCAAAAGTGTTCCGCACTCGCTTGTATTTCCCGGCGGCTGAGCCATTTCGTTGCTTTATTTATCGCAGCCCGTTTTAACTTGAAGTACCCGTGACAGCACGTGCCTGCAAGTTATTCAGTTATTCATTCTGCCCAGCCCAGTCAGATTCTGGCCCAGATTTACCAACATCCTGCACCAGGACGAGGTTTGCAGGTGCTTAGATCCAGGCATTGTGCTCCCAGAGTGTAGGAGTCTGACACTTGGTAGAAGGACGGCATTGCTCTGAGTTGCGGCATACCTCCAGCAACGCTCAGTCCTATCAAAGACGTCTTTCTGAGCACGTGCTACCCGGGCCACGACGAGGGGTCGAGGAGTCAAGGTTTGCCAGCGCCAGTTGAGCTCAGATCGTCGTAGAACCCTGGATCCTAGCAGAGCAGGCATCCAAGGCCAAGCTTCCTGGAGCGTGGCAAGAGAGCCCTCCTCACATCACAACAGAGGTGCTGCTACTCAGCCTGCATATGTCACCATGCACGCATGTTTCTGCGACATCTCTTCGGCAATCCTTCTCGGCTTCGTGCCAGCTGTGCATGATGTTGCCGCAGAAGCAGAAGAGAATGGCTCCAGTCTCTTCGATAAGTACCTTCAGGGTATCGTCGACTCGAAAAGTGCGATGAAGCAACTACATGTTTCGAGAGTCCGCGTGCATGGACTGCACATGTCGTGTATTCTGCGGCGGTTCCATAAAATGGACCGCTGCAAAGGTTTTTGCTGTGGGCGACGCAGCTCGTGAAAGTGTCAGCTGAGAGTTGTTCCAAAAGCGGGCCGCTGCTCCCCAAGTACAGTCACCCAATGCGTTCATGGAATTACTTGTTCAATAGGTACCTGCCAGGCAACCCCAGTTTGGAACAACCCATGGGTGCATTCCATCACAGATTGTGTTCTGCCTGTTCTCTTTTGAAGTTTGCAGAAGCTGTTGAGCGCTGAATGTGAGGGATAGGACAGTCACTAGTCTGATGGTGAGATGCAGAGAGATGCAGACGGGTTGATGCACAACAAGTATTTCGATGAGGGCAGCCGAGGTTGTACAGGAGATACCAGACGCTTCAGCCCTATGAAAAGCCGGAACATCACCATGCAGATGGCAGCCTCTGAAGTGCGGAACCTCCGAAAGTCCTCGGGGCAGTCCTCAGGGCTTCGCTTCTGCAGGCGCGATGCTTCGACCTGATTCAAGAGAATGTGCCGGACTCAGGTGGCTTGAGGCTGCAATGAGCAGGTATCAAACGGACCGCTAAGGAGACCGGATTATTCAACACCAGGTTGACACTCCCAAATCAAGTCCATGGAGTCCATGCTATGAGGCCAAGGGCCTGGAAGGTAGATTCGGAAATGTCAACTTCTCAAATCTCGTGCCCAAAATCCGCGGGACGTCGACAGTCTAAAGTCTTTTCGATCCCGCTGCATCTTCGAGGATGCCCTGCGGCAGCAGCTGGCGGAACGGTCTCGGGTCCGGGCCCTGGCCGCAGTGCCGAGTTTCGGATGGATGGTGTGTAGCTAGTTTGAATCATCGTCTTCGTTTTGGTGTTGCAGAGTCGTCTTCTTTTTCATGTTTTGCAGGTGTGCACGATAGCCGGGGTAGCACTAGGAATCAGGATAATTGCAACGGCAAGACTGGTTTTCGCCGGAGACATGCACTAACACAGTCAGAACTCTTTTTGATTGCAATCGTTCAAACGCATTGAAGCTTTGGTCAACTTCGAGACAGGACGGCTCGCCCCATCGCTCTGCACGGCGTCCTGCCGCTGAGGACTGGAGAAATAATGAGATGAATATCAGTTTATCTATTTTTATATCTACATATATACATATCTCTTTATTTATATGCATATACATATATATATATATATATGTATGTATATATATATATGTATATACATATGTATTATGACATAGTTGCGATGTACTATTTTGAGGGGGGCGCCACGGTTGCAGGCTCTTCGCTTGGCATTGCAGCGGCAAGAGCTGAGCCTCGTGAAGCTGCTCACGGGCCTGGATCCGCAAATGCCTGGGAGCCCAACCCTTTTTTGCTTTGTCACGTTGCAACAGCCCTGGGCCTGACGGGGCAGTCAGTACATGGCAAGAAACAGCGAAGTGCTTGTAAGTTCCCTTCTCACTGGGTCCCTATAAATAACTAATAGGGTGTTTTCAAGGTCATCAGTGTTGGGTGTTGCCGTGTCTTCTTCATTTGTTGTTGTTCATCATTGTATCCAAATTGTTCTCTGTTTATTCCACCTTTCACATTCCTTGTTCCTCATTCCCAGGGTCAAGATTCTGACCTGTCTCTCTTTTTCGTTTTATCAACATATCCACCTCACTCGTGTTTTCTCTCTCCTATCCCTACATTGTCACCTTACTCGTTTTCTCTTAGACCCTATAACCCAAAGGATGTATCGCCCCCTCACGCGTTTTTCCTCTCCTCACTCTTCCTTTTCTTAATGTTTTGTTTCAGGTGCTTCTGGTTTTCCTTCCATTTCCTATATTCTTCCAGATTCCCCCGATTGGCTTAAGTATTGATGGTCTTAAATCATCATTGTCTGTCATCTTTCTGATTGCTTCACGGAGAAAACATATGTTAATATACATTGAACAAAACCCGTTACGGTCATTAAACTGCCAACCATGTGAACATTATCATTATTGTTATGCAAGTCAATACTTCCGTCTTCACCTTTCGGCATCGTAATATCGAACAAAGTTCAATACGTGCATGTTCCTTCATTATCCGTTGTTGGTGTTTCCTTTTCCAAGAACTTGTCACTTACTTTTATCCAGAAGTCTTGACCTCTACTCGGAAGGGTGTTTTGAATAATAAGTTTTTTTAAAAATTTCATGGGGTTTAGTGTCTCCTTTTGGAATCCACTGCATTTTCTTGAGATTATGAGTCTGTTTATCTTTAAGTATTCTAGTTTCTATTGCTTGTCTGTTTCATTTTAATTGTCAGATTCAAAACCATCATATTATCATTTACTTATATTAATATCATGAAAATTAAATAATATTGCATTTTAGCCACTCCATTAAATCATTAAAGACCTGCCGTTTATTTGAATATGTATCAATCATGGAAAATAACACAAATAATGATACAAAAATCCTTTATGTCAACAATATCATGCTCATCATTATATTGATTACTGTATGTCTCTATTATCTCTATAAAAAACTTTCTCAACTCTCAAACTTATCCTCATCAAAATAATGATCATGTACGTCTTCAAGTTTGTCATGTATTTGCTTATCGTAGAACTCACTGTGTTTAGCATAAAGACCATATTCAGACATACAAACATTATCCTCATAAGCGTTACTTACAATAAATAGTCACAATAGAAAAGTTAGTCTTAAAGCCGTTCAACACATTCACTACTATATCTCTATGTTCAAGATAGTCGTTGTTACCAAACAAACCGTATATAAGAACAGCAACGTCATACTCTAAATATCTGACTCTATCAACACAATTAGAACAACCAATATAAGAAAAAAATTGTCATTTACACCCTCAGAAAATGCAGCGAAATTCTTTCTACTGTGATAATGTATTAATTTTCAGTTCTCACAAGTCTTAAAATCATAATTTTTCAATGTTCTCCCATACTCAATTTCTTTGTCAATATTGTAATCTGTTATTACAACACTTTCACTATCACTCACTATTTCACTTAATATATTCAGGCTTGTGTCTTTAAGTAGTTTTTGCTACATTTTCTGAGGGGCACTCTTCAAAAGTAGTATTACAGAGTGAAAAATATTGTTGGTTACTATTAAATTCTCCTGTCAATACATAGCATAAATGCTCAAGTATAGCATCAATGTGAGCATTTATGTTATGTTTGATTCTTAAAACATATGTAAAGACTGAAATCACAAAACCTGTTGCTGCTCTTTCATATTGGTTTCTATATGTACAAGTGTCGTCCTTATAACCATGCTGTTCCTCAAGATATTTAAGGCATTTATGACAAGAGTTCAAACACCTAAAATCATATAGTCTTCAGTCATTTATGAACTTCTTCAGCAATGGTTTTGTTAATTGGCTTTTTGATTTATCTAAGATGTGCTTCTTACCCCTTAAATTTGTTAGTTTATCATGTCATTGCCAAAATGATATAGTGTACAATGTATTTGCTTATGGACTATTTCACAATCATCTAACGTTGGTATGGTTTCATACTCTTTTTATATTCATACATTTTTTTCGCAATGAATAAAAGGCAAAATGTTGTTAGTAGCATGTTCATCAAACACTTCATTTAATATTTCCTCACTTCTTCTATAATTAGTACATATCTACACTCAGAATTAAAACGGAACGTTTCCATTTCAGTATTATAAAGGTTGCTTTTCTTTAAGTGGCTTTGCTCATTTATTCATACTAATTCATGCCTGTTGTATTTTTTGCTTAATCCATCTAACATATGTTATTTATTTAATATTGCATCTCGTCCTACCTCCATAACCTCATAAGTCCTATCACTCCATTGGCTGCTTGTTTGCTTTCTACTAGTAAAAATTCCCGTTTCCCTTGACATAGATTTTAACTTGGATACTTCCCCCACTCAGTCAGTAACAGTTGAGCATTATTCACAAGACAGATACATAAGGGTCTTAATAGTAGCCCGAGTATAGACTGTTGCTGTATGGGGGCAGTACCCAAGTTTTAACCTTGTCACAGTCTTTTACTTGTGGGCATTTTCTCATATACTTTTCCTTTTAATACTGAATTGCCTGTGCTGTTACATGGTTATCATCTTTATGTGCTTCATTCGGGGTCATTCCAGTTGTTGAATGCTTCATCGTTTTAATATGCTTGTCTAATGCAGGCTTTAAAAAATATTGATCATGCACCTTTTGTAGCCAGTGCTCTGTCTCCTATCATCTTCTTAAAAGTTCTGATAATCTCTCTGCCACATTTGCATGTGTTAATGTCACCACGTGTTCTGCATGCCCGGTAAGAAAGTTTCGTCGCATCCGCTAGAAACACTA